AGCTCTTTGTCTCCATTTGTACAAGTATGTCTGACTTTCTACTGCATATGCCCAGTTTTATGATAAGAACATCTTGTCAGCATTGATACAATGACCTTAGTAAAATTCCAATTAGTGTTTGTGAGTATACCAAGTGCTATACAGCTGGTGACTGATTATAAAATCCTCTTTTCCCCGTCACCTCCTCAATATGGTCACAAACACAGCAGAATAACCCCTCTGATCACCGGTTGCTATAGCAACTCCAGCTTTAGCACTGGGATGCTACAGGGCCATGGATGTCATTGTGATATCAGGCGCCTGCAGTGAAACAGCCCAGTCGGTCTGTGACCAAATTTACGTTTTAAAATGTTTTAAAAAGGGTTGGGAATGGGGGGGCAGAAGTGAGAAACACCATTTTCTGGTGAAAAAAAGCAACACTGTGTAATGTTGGGGGTGGAGAATGAAATAAGGCTGTGATCCATTGGGGGAAAATACAACATGCTGTGGGCGTATCCTGCGAGGCTGGACCGAGAGGAGATGGAAAACAGACATCACCGCCGAGGACAGGAAGATTCTGGGGCTCGTTGTCCATGAATCGGCAAGTTCCGCTATACTCTTCTGCTCGGACCCTGTGGCCACACAGCGCAGAAGTGGCTTCATGTAAGACACGGCGAGGTAATGTTTCCAAGCCCCATGGACGACATCCTGGCAACTGGCCAGATGTCTCCTCTGTCCCGGTGTCGAGAGATGCCACAGTCGACATGGTGCAGTAACTACTGCTTGCTTCATTACATCACTGATACAGTCGTGACAGGATACAAAGTTGAATACATCAGACATGGCTCTGAGAACACTTTTCAACTGTCCTTGAGCACTTAAGCGTTGCTAATCATGCCATGTTTCACGCTTGTTACAATTCTGCCACTTTGCCGTACATTCAAGCTTGTCTTGTGGGCTCTCCACAAGACAGAGTATTTGCAACCCAGTCTCACAGCAAAACGTGTAATAGATACGTTGTGGACCAACGTGGTATTGTCACGCTTTTTGGGGAGAAAGCGCGACAATACAACGTTTTTGCAACTAGATCACGTGACTATCAACTTTCCCTCAGCTAATAAAAAGAAAATGGAGGACTGTTGATCTATTATCTGTGAAAAACACAATATTTTAAGAAAGCATCAGCATTTGTATGCATTTCGATGGCATTTCTAGCGAGAAGTATGCGTTATATTTTCATAATCTTCTATCAGGGGATGTAGAAGACCTTCCGTTTATTAGTTTCTATTGACGTAGTTGCAAGGCGATGTAAATGAACAGGCCAAAATAAAACGTAGTATTGTCACAATTTTGGGGAGAAAGCAGGAGAATACCACGTTCCACAACGTAGCTATTACACGTTTTGCTGTGAGACTGGGTTGGTATTTCGGTGCATTTATTGCTTTTGACGGAGAAGACTTAACAATCAGTATTTAAAGAAATAGTAAAAAGAAAACAATGATATGGTTTATTTCTAAAAGTGAGATGAAAAGATTGACCCCATTAGTATTGGTTAAGTTCATACATCCCAAGAGCTATAGCTCGCCATGGTTCTAATGAAACAGTTCATGTGAAAGTACACAGTCCATAAACAAGCAGTACGCTTCTTATGTTTCTTAAAAAATGAATAAAAAACTGGACAGATGATTTGGTTTTGAATTTGTCTCAAAGCCCGTGCACATCAAAAACAAGCACATACACGTGATACGAGAGATAACTTCCACAAACGTGAATTGATTAGTTGGGTATACTACGATGCTCTTCTCCCCCTCGAGCGTGAATAACAGCCCATCAAGAGCAGCTGAACATGCATGATCCCAGTTGGAGCGTGCCTTAATGGCCCGTTTGGCAGCTTGGCTCCTCCCGGAGGTTGCAGATGGCACCCAGCGACACCGGCGTCAACGTTCTGTCTGTGCCCCGCCAAAAATACTCGGTCCTAGTGGGCGGCTCTATCTACACCTGCCTCTGCAGATTTCAGCACATGTGGGTGAAGAGGCAGCCGTGTTTGGAGGAGGGATGCACTTCTGTTCAGAACAGAGACAGGGTTTTTTCTGTTTACTTTTAAACTGTTCTAAGCTGGTTGGGGACACAATTTGAAAACAGAAACATGGCATTTCATAACGCATTCAGATCTGTTGTTTGGAAAACCTTTGTGTCAGTTTGAGGCAGTTTAATAGTAAGATCTTTCATTTCATCTCTCTGAACATATGCGGGGCATTGTACAGTAAGTGTCACATTGAAAACCATCTGCTTTCTTGGTGTCTCAATCAATGAGCATTCATTGTTTTGACTCTCCAGTATTGTCTATATGTTTCGGCTTATGCTTCCTTTACGATGTTTGTGGACATGTGGACCCCTAAGGGGTTAGGAGTAAAAGCACTGAATGCGGATCAGATCAGATAATTTCCTCTCCAAGTACAATCAGAGTCAGGCTGCGGGTGCTTGAAATAGCAGTTTATAGGGTTGATTCCACCAAAATTACTGAAAAAATAGATATATTCTCACATAAAGCTTGAACATGAGCCATTCTGATTAGGGCTTTATTTGTCCAGGTTTATAGATATTCATCACGAGATGTATTCTGCCAAAACAGCACTGGCTGTCATGGATGTACTACCTTCGTGAAAATAGTACCCATGAAAAAGGTTTACAGCTTCTGTACAGGTTGAGATTCTGGCATTTGTTTTAAGGAAGGAGATGTTTTCTTCTTCTTTCTTTCTCTCTTTTTTATAGGTTCCTGTCTCAAAAAAATCTCACCGTAGAATAACGGTAAATTCCTGGCATGCCAGTAATTCACCGTTATTCTACGGTATAATACAGTAAATGGTTTTTACACTATGTTATCGTAAAATGGATTACAGTAAATTGGAGCAAACTTTACAGTCAATTAACTAAAATACTGGCAGCGGATGCCAGTAATTTGCTGTTTTTTATGGTACAATGCCGTAGAATACAGTATGTTACCGTATAATGGATTACTGTATGTTACCATGAACTTGAACCAATTTTACTGTGAATTAACTGCAATTTACTGGCAGTCAACGCTAGTACTGTTTCATTTACAGTGCCCTACCGTAACATACGGTATGTTGCCGTATATTGGATTACAATTTTTTACCATAGGATTACTGTTTTTGTGTTATAAATACCAGAATGTTACCGTTTACTTATAACCGTATACTTTTGCATTTTATTCCCCACAAGTTAAAGACAACCACACTCATGTCAGTCATAGTGGTTGGAGTTCATTAGATGCCTTTAAGACAAAAATGTTAGACATTTGTAACCAAGAACAAAACATAAAATATGCCGCATGTATACAATAATTGACTGCAGCAAACGGCTGGCGTCCTTAATCTAGTGGCTACTGTAAAACAAACCACAATAAAATATTTAGAAACACTGTCATTGTGCTATGCAGCGCAAGTTTGGCGGTTCGAATCCTGGCTGCTCCCTGTGCCAAGTCGAAGTGTCCCTGAGCAAGACCCCTAACCCCCAATTACTCCACATAAATGGGCGTTTTGGATAAAAGTGACAGCTACATGTATAGTAATGTCCTGTAAGTCAAAGTCATCATTGTATCTCATGAGATACTATATCATTATGATGACTTACAGGACCGGTTTGTCTGTGGCTGACATGGGCTTCCATACATTAACCTACAACAGATGTAGATGGATTGTGATTTACTGCACGTATTTCCACATGCAGTTGAATTACGGTAGTCTGCTATTATCGTAAATTGACAGCTTTAACTGTTTAACCCTTTTGTCAACACTTATCACCTAATCCTTCTGAACTTCCCCATTGCTCTCAGTTTTGCAGACATGTATGCTTTTTAAATGGACCCTGTTGTTGCACTCCCTTCATTGTTACTGTCAGGGATGTTGCGTGGGCAAAAAGGCAGGACTCAAACGCAGAGTTTGCGGTAAACAAAAAGGACTTTAATAGTCAGAAACTCCAACACAAAAAGGCCAACGGGCAAAAACACATACAAGTACCGGGGGGAAAAAGGCAGGCAGGCAGGCAGGAACGAGGAACATCCAGGACAATAGACAATGAGGCGACAAGTGACAACAGACACACATGGCTTAAATACACTAGGGAGGTGCAGGTGATTGTTTCCACCTGTGTCCAATCATGACATGACAGACAATCACAGGGGAGGACAGGACAAGGCAGGAAGTGACATGACCCAGGGAGAACAGAGGCAAGAAACTACAAAATAAAACCAGACATTAACCCAAACCGTGACAGTTACTTAACCATAACGGTGAGAGAAACAACTACAGGGCACTTTAACAACTCTGCCAGCCCTGTGTTTAGACCACCTCCAAGGTGACTTTATAGTCCCTGCCCAAACTCCACAGTCAGTCCTATAGAATTTCCTGCAGCCTATTAATCCATCCATCCATCCATCCATTGTCAAACCGCTTATCCTGCACACAGGGTTGCGGGGGGGCTGGAGTCCATCCCAGCCAACTTCGGGCGATAGACAGGGCAGCCTATTAATGCATAGGCAAATATAGAAAATAGGCAAACCATAGTTTCCAGTGTGTGCAAATGTTTAGTTAAAATTGTTCTTGTCTTCTTGCAACCTGGGCAGATGATAGGTGTATATAGCCAATGTTGTCACCCGACCTGAAAAACATTATACTATTTTTATACTTCCCCTGAAACCAAATCAAGTGGTTCTCTGCGACTTGTCAGGATCGTTACTATGAAAGCATTTCGGCCCCTTCATTACTGCTGCAAGAAGTTGCACATTCAATTTAGCCCTGTGCGAACACACTCAAAAAGATGAAAATGTTAAGATTCATCTATAATCCGCGTTTCAGGTCCAAATGGTGGGGAAAGTAGGCGTGAGCGCACATGTGCACCTTACACCGCCAGCGGCTGCGCGTCTTTTCCCGATGAGTGTAGATAACATACAGTGCGCGTTCAGAGGGCTGCGACTCGGACGCGGTCTCTGAGCCCTTCTCCTGCTGTCCTATCCTGTCTGTGCGCTCTGGACCTGGACCCCCTCCCCCTCCCTCCTCTCCTCCTCTCCTCCTCACCGCGCGGAGCTCGACGCGCGCAGGCACAACACATGGTCGGGCTGCAGGAGCGCACCAATTTAACGCAGAAGTACTTTCGTTCCTCTCAACTTCCCAGAGACGTTTAGTGTAATAATAGCTTACAGGAGTAAGGGGGGGTTCTCCGAGGACCAACTCGACTCGGACAGTCACTGGATTCTACGCTTACAGGCGGAATTTGCTGCCAAGGTAAATTGGGATGTTTTTTCTTCTTCTTAACAAACGATGAGATTTTGGGATCAACTCAGCAACAGAATGCTGATTCAAAGATATCCCAATGCGCGGTAACTTCAACTGCTTCTGGTTCCTCTGTTGTCGATGTTTGTAAGCCCACCCCCATCTCGGACTTTTACTATTTACGAGTGTGACTAAATACGATCTGCAATGATGAAAACATGATATTTACACCGTTCGGAGGAAGACACATCTTTTTCTAGGGGCACTAGATTTGCATCCTATTGTAACATTATTTTCCTAAACTAGTCACCCGTAAAAACATTTCTGGAAATTGAGACAAATGAACAGCAGTGACCTTTTTAGCTTCTGTGTTATTGCCACTTGGCAAACTTTATAGTTGCAGCATGAATGCAAGAACAAACAAACAGCAGAGCTCCTCTGCATCCTGAATACAGCAACAAGAGTATTTTAGTTCCTTCATTATATCCCAGGAGTTTACAGCCAACAGCACAAAGTCTTCACCAGCTCCACAGACACTCATCTGTGTAAGTGCTGATGCTGCAACTCTGTGGGGGGGCTGATGCCACAAACCAGCGAACGACATTCAAACACACAACCACCATTTTTAGTGACTTATGCTGAGCCTCCCACGGGGAACCCTTTTAATGCCACTATCCATTCATGTCCATTCAGCCACTAGCATGTCAAAGGTCAGCAATGTACTGGCTTTTCTCCTGAGAAGTGCCTGGGATAAAACAAATTAGGCTTTAGAAAGAAGGGCAACCCCACTGCTCAACAGCATTTAACAATAAAATACTTTTAAATATGAATGCAAAATAACAAATTATAACTGTATCCCAGCTAATGTATAACCCACCAGATTTCATTCAGATTTTCTGATGTTAATGACTCCAAACCCTGCATGCCAAAAAATAGAAAATACATTTTTATGTCATGTAAACACTTACTGGTGGCCTTCTACACGCTCAAATGAATTACCCATTTGAGAATTTGCCATTATTGGTGATTTTCATTCTGCATTGGCTCCCGTTCTTAAGGAAGAACTGCTGCTACCAGCAGCAGCGAATAGATAGATCGTTTTACTGTAACAGCCTGCGAGACACTGGCACTAATCTCTCTGCACTCCTGCATTCTCCCGTCCTCAGAAAAACAGCAGCCACTCTGACATTTACATCCTGGATATGATACGTCTTTGACTGGTCCAATTGAGTCTCCATCTACTGCTTTATTATTAATAAACTATTTACAATGAAATTCCGGTATACACCTTTACGTAACGGCAGAGCCACCTGAGCCATAAACTCAGATTCACTTAGGGGAGGTAAGAAGCTCCACGGGAGAGCATTTCTACCTGGTTGACGCCAGTCATCCGTTTGTCACGTCTTTAAAGATGAGGAATGCCCTCACGGTCACCACTGAGCTTCATGTAAGGTTTTGTTCAATCCCAAAAGAGGTTCAGACCCGCGAGGGACCCCAAGTGTTTCCACGGCCTTCAGCAGATACAAAGCGCATCACAATGTCACGCGGCTTCGCAATTTGCTCACAATTAGATCTCCGGGGAGAGCTACCCGAACTTTGTGTTCCATCTGCTCTCTGTGTGATGCCCTGGTGCGACAGACTTGCTTTAAAAAGAGCTGTACCAATGTGCTAATGCTGGTGAAATACTAAGGGGAACAAATGGAAATGAGTAACTCCTCTATAAAAATGGCTGTGCGATCAATATCAGGAAGTCTGTTCATTTGGACAACATTGAGTGTTGCAGTGCATCTAGGTTGTTATTAGTTTCTGCCTTCACTAGTCCTGGTTCTCTAGGCAATGCCCAATGCACTGCGCACGTATCCTTCCATCCACATGTCTCTAAGATATTCGATTTGTTCTCGTCCTTGCATGTGGCCTAATTTGTGCTCATGAGAAATGTTATGGGACCTTTTGAGAGTCCTCGGCCACTAAGTGCGCCGTTTAAGAGCCATGTGACAAACATCCTTTGCACTGTTCTACACAGTCATATGTGCACTTTACTGAGTGCATGCACTAAATCCAAACACACACTGAGCAGCAATATTAAGGCATAAATTGTTACATACCGCATTGCTGATATCATGTGGAGCGCCAGAGAAATCATCCAATGTCTGAAATACCATCATTTTCATTTATATCCACAAGTGGACAGGATGAGATCTAAAGTAATAAGATAGGACCGTCTCCTTTTATTGGAACTGTGAGTGTAGTCTCCTGCTTGGAAGAGGGGAATCAAAAGCTACATCAGAGGCTGAATGTTGTATTGACTTAACTTAACCCTTTTTGCAATATATACATATATTCTTGTATGTTATGCTCAACAGACAGCCAACCATAACATAAATAAGTCTTTCTCCTTTCCAAATAGCCTGCAAATGAATTCCACTTCATAATTGTGATGTCAAGCAACCTCTGATTCAGTGATGGCTATTTGTGGTAAAGGGCTTGTTGATGCTTTTTCAGTTTAACCATTGCTGCTGTCCGTCCATCCAACCCCAGCCAATGCCGTCCTCACATGACCGAAGCCACCTGCAGAAATAAGTGATGCTGCAAAGTCCGAGTCTGACTGCAGCAACAGCAGTGTGTGCGCCCGCTCCATTTACTGTCGGTGGATAAATATTGAGCTGTACGTGAGAATGAAATGAGAGGTACAGAGAATAAATCCTGGAGTGATACCTGTAATATGCAGCACCTGACATAAAGCTGCTAATCTCAACATGACAGAGAAAAGGCTCCCGTTTGTGAGTGATGGATGCACACATTTTGGTTTTCTACATGTTTATGTTAAGAGTTCATTCATATAGAATGAGCGGTTCACTGCCGGTTTTGTTTTAATCTTTATTTGTCAGTTATCAATGACATAATACCAGAAATGTAGTAGTTGATACCAATATCAGTTAAATTCCACTATTCGGTTAAAGAACCAAAATGAATCCCATGTGCTTCAAATGTTTTTTTTTTTAAATGACAAGATTATACATTTGAGGACATCATGAAAATACTTCCGAAAGAAAGCCGTTAGCGCTGTTACTTAGCCAAGCACACTTTTCCGGCTCGCAAGCTACTTTGCTACTTTTAGTTCTGGTCATCTCCCGCGGTCGACCGCGCATGCGCAATGGTCAGCGATTTACTGGCGATCGACCGGTCGAGCACTCCTGAACTAGGCAGTTCGGACATCATGTTCGGGAGAAAAGTACTGTATAATGAAGGCGGACCCTGATGGTATAGAAAAAGGTGTCAAACTATCAAACGGTGGCATTTATTGTGCTTTGTAGTGCCCCTTACAGCCACAAAAGGCTGTAGGGGGCACTACTCATGCCCTCTACAGCCTTAACAAATAATTCCCCTGGAGTAATTACTGACTTTGATGTGTAAAATTGATGGAGTTTCTTTTTAAGGACCATTTTCCTCAAACACCTTGTGTTAGTGAGCATCAACTACCCGATGGTTTCACTGGTCTCTGCGCCATTCTGTTATGGCTGGTTGCATCTGGAAACGGTTGTATCACATTAGTTAAGTTTTAATAACACGATGCACTACCCGTGGACAGATTTGGAGGAGTGTCAATTGAAAAAAGTAATCAGTCATGATTAAGAAAGCAGAAACATCCACACAAGAACTAAGTGAACCTCATCTTTAGTGAAAGGGTTTGTTAGCGCCCTGCGGCTTCAAAGGGCCACCCTGCGTGGCATCCACAAATACTACATTTGAAGGGGAATTTTAAATGAAAGTGGATAAATATTTCACCTCAACATTGATTCATCCTGCCACTGTAGACTTGTTCATCTGTAGGCCAGTCGCTTCTGTAAAGGCATGCAGTGACGTTACCGGCATTAGATGTAATGGACCCCCTGTGTGGAGCTGTCTCACCACTTACTGCTCGGTCGTTTTCTCCGTCACAGCTGTGATAAAGGCTGTTGATAATCAGAAGGTATCATTATCGATTAGTGATGATTGATGACTGCATCCTGAAATAATAAGATGATGTGATATTTGAATGTGCATTTCTCAGGTCACATTTTATGCATCAACTGCGTCGTGGTTCTGCTTCATGCAACAAGAAACAGGCAGAAGTGGCACTCTGGCATCGACGTGCAGGAATTGCCAGCAGCACTTTTTCCCCGTAGGTAACCTTGTTGCATGGTTGAACAGGCTTCATAATATGCGGTTTTGTTTTCTGGTTTGAACTTTAAGAAGGATGACAGGCTCGGCTTTCCTCGTTTGCAATTTTAAAAAGTACAACAGTGCAGGTTTGGCTTCTGGCTAAACAGGAGGAGGACGAGGAGAAGGGGCTTGGTAAAAGAACAGGCTACATCTCTAAAGACAGTACGCAGTTAAATCTGAAATCTTTACAGTGTGCGTCACCAGAGGGAGCAAAAAGGATTATCTTGTTCTTTTCTTATGAATAACACAAATGAATCCCATTTCCCAGCAGGCTTAATAACTAACAGTAGGTTGTATTACATAATTGTTATTTGCAAATAAAAATGAATGATTTAAGTGTTTAATTTTGTGCACAACAGAGTATACGTATTGGCATCCAGAAGGATTTTTAATGCCTCAGTTAAAATGGACATTAAAATAATAATAATTGACTGTCTTTGGCCCCTTTGGAGGAAGTGAAAGCAAGTTGTGGCCATTGACGTATCGTGGCCTTTTATGTTGATTACGGTGAAGTTGTTGCTCATCACGCAGATACAGAGCAGCATTATCATTTGGTGCTGTGCAGGTCTTGGACTGTGGGTTTAAAGCTGTGTGCTGCTGTTGAAATTAACACTATGAGAGTAATATGAGTAGAACCAAAACATTATTATAAAGCTCTGTAAAGCTTCATTTTATACATTGTGATCACATGATCACTTTAAGGAGACAGGAACATTATCTTTATGGCTTTCAGTGTATTCCGTAAAACAATACTGTGTGAGCTCCACATGGCTGAAACCTTCCGTAAGCAGTGTATCACAGCCCGAGTG